AATTCACAACTAAATTTTTGAATTTCAGAATTTGAGAATATGTAACATATATTGTGAGTTCAGAAAAAAGGAAAATTGGATGTTTCCTTGTAAGAAATAGAGATTCATGTAACAAAACCTAAGCTTTATAGATTACCACTGCCTGCTGGCTGAACAGCAACCTAGGAACAATTCGTGTAGAGTAGCTTAGGTACTGTATTGTTGATGATGCTACTTGAAATTGAGACTATATTTCACTCTCAGGTTAATAAATTTTAAGGGGAACACATAGAATTTGTGGAAGAGAATTCTCAGAAAAAAATAAGATAAAAATTTAACTTCAACCTATAATGTATGCCACACATTGTGTCAAAGTGGCCTTCTTCTTCTTCTTGCTCTTTTTTTCTTTTTTTTTTTTTCCTGGAGTGGAATAAGATTTCTACCATGCTTATTCAGAATTGTTGCTATGGTAACCTTGTATGTCTTATAAAACTGTAAACAACTGAATAAAATGGTCAAATAGACCACAAGTTTATAGCTGTGCAAGCTGAGTTCAGTTGTATACACAATCCATTTTTAATATTTTCTTTACAAAGAAATATTTATTCACGTCAAATGGATGCTCGTGCCTTCTTCCAAAAGATTATGGCCATTTGTGTGTGGGTACATGGTGTGTAATTGGGGGAAAGTTACTTTTCTTTCCCTTTTCCAAAACATAAAATGAGGAGATTGTAATGCAGACAACTGGAATCCATGGTTCATCCACATAATCATTATGAGCAGTCTATGAAAACATGCCAAAAGCGTTCCTAAGCATTAGGCCCTCAGGCACACAGATTAACATGGCTAAATTGACTGCTGGCGATTTGAGCAACGTCTTAAGGCTCTGCATAAAATCCATTGACAATGAACACTTTCATTTAAAAATGTGCTGCCATGGGCAATCCATGCCAACCAATTTATAGTCTCTATTCTTATAGCAGTTTGGATGAAAATGCTTTTAAAACAGCCAAACAAAACTACTTGAATTTGTTATGGATTAACACATGACGATTTTGCCACCACAAGAAAAAGACAGATGTTACAGGAAAGCAGACAACGCACACCTGCTGCAAGTATCTAGCCCTGCTGGAGGGTTTGAATTGAGCAGCGACGCTTTTGTGATGTCCTTGTTGCAACATCACTGAAACAGACAGTCGGATTGCTAAGACTAACATTCTAGTCTAAGAACATGTATTCCCAAGAAAACTTTAAACAAAAATGATGGTTACAGTATGTGGAGGTTAACTTTTCAACATCACACCTACCCAAACATAGCTATTCTAAATAGAGCATACAGAAATAGCATTCATATTTTGATTCTTTCATTAATAAACACCTTTTCTCATCAACAGTATGTGACAATTGTCACATTTGTGATCTCATACAGAACATACTGTTCACTAGAGAAGGTACTAAATTTGATGACACAGGGCCCAGCGCCACAGCGTAGTGGTTAAAGTCCTCGCCTTACACCCTCTGGGATCCCATATGGGCGCCAGTTCTAATTCTGGCAGCTCCACTTCCCATCCAGCTCCCTGCCTGTGGTTTGGGAAAGCAGTCGAGGATGGTCCAAAGCCTTGGGACCCTGCACCTGCATGGGAGACCCAGAAGAGCACCTGGCTCCTGGCTTCGGATTGACTCAGCTCCAGCCGTTGCGCTCACTTGGGGAATGAGCCATCGGACAGAAGATCTTCCTCTCTATCTCTCCTCCTCTCTGTATATCTGTCTTTGCAATAAAAATAAATAAATCTTTAAAAAAATAAATTTGATGACATAAACATTACTTTTCCAAAAAATATTTTTATTCACCTTATTTTCTCATTTTCTTGGAATTTTTAAAAAGATTTTTATTTATTTTTATTGTAAAGTCAGATATGCAGAGAGGAGCAAAGACAGACAGGAAGATCTTCTACGTGTTGATTCACTCTCCAAGTGGCTGCAATGGCCAGAGCTATGTCGATCTGAAACCAAGAGCCCTGAGCCTCTTCCGGATCTCCCACGCAAGTGCAGGGTCCCAAATAATTGGGCTGTTCTGGACTGCTTTCCCAAGCCGCAGGCAGGGAGCTGGATGGGAAGCAAGACCACTGGGACTAGATTTGGTGCCCCTATTGGTATCTCAACATGGGCAAGGGGAGGACTTTAGCCCCAAGGTACCTTCTGCGAATATTCTATATTTGCTCTGTTGACAGATTTAACATCAGCAATTTCAGAACAACAAGCAAAATTGAAGTTTCAGCGCATAGACTGAAATATAAATATAATATGTAGACAAACTTTCTGCAGCAAAAATGAGAACATTTGTATTATAGAATTTCTTATTTGGACCATGCCCTTGACTATGGTTATATTATTAATTATACATGATATTCTCACACTATGGTCATATGAAGCATATTTTATTATTCCTACAAAAATTGTTTCTTTTGCCACATATTTTTCAACTTTGAATACAATGTAAAAATTTCAGAGAGTTTAATGGTGAAGACACATGACAGTACTGTTGCATATGGGAGTCCCTGGGTTAGAATCCCAACTCTGTTTCTTGATTGTAAGATAATATTGGTGCAGAACATGGGAGATAAAACAGATAGTTCAATAATTTTCTTTCAACCATTCAACTAGGTCTTTATTGAGTCTAGATTCCAAGATTCATTCCAGAATTATGGACATTTATGGAGTGAACCAGCCACTTGAATATCTTCTACTTTCTCTTGTGTTTTCTTGCTGTCTCTTTTTTAGTTTCTTTATAGTAATGAATATACAATTAATGAATTAATATACAAAAATTTAAAGTTGCAAAATAAATTCAGTAAATTGAAAAATTGCTATTGTAGAAATTATAAATATGTAATTTTGTTGTTTAAAAATATCCAAGAAAGGGCCCGGTACTGTGGCCTAGAGGTTAAAGCCTTCACATTGACTGCGCTGGGATCCAATATGGGCGCCGGTTCTAATCCCGGCAGTTCCAATTCCCATCCAGCTCCCTGCTTGTGGCCTGGGAAAGCAGTCGAGGATGGCCCAAAGCCTTGTGTTCCTGTACCTGTGTGAGAGACCTGGAGAAAGTTCCTGGCTCCTGGCTTCGGATCGGTGCAGCACCGGTCATTACAGTCACTTGGGCAGTGAATCATCAGACAGAAGATCTTCCTCTCTGTCTCTCCTCCTCTCTGTATATCTCTGACTTTGCAATAAAAATAAGTAAATCTTTTTTTTTTAAGATTTTATTTTTATTATTTTTTTCATTGGAAAGACGGATATACAGAGAGGAGAGACAGAGAGGAAGATCTTCCATCCGATGATTCACTCCCCAAGTGAGCGCAACGGCCAGTGCTATGCCGATCCGAAGCCAGGAGCCTCTTCCGGGTCTCCCACGTGGGTGCAGAGTCCCAAAGCTTTGGGCCGTCCTCGACTGCTTTCCTGGGCCACAGGCAGGGAGCTGGATGGAAGGGAAGCGGGGCTGCTGGCGCCCATATGGGATCCCGGGCGTGCAAGGCGAGGACCTTAACCACTGCGCCACCGCGCTGGGCCCCAAATTATAATCTTAAATGTGAAACTAGCACATATATCAAAACACAGTGACAGAGGTCTGACCTTGGAGAGCGGCGCAGTAATCTGCCACTTGTCACACTGGCATCCCACACTGCAGCACTGGTTCACGTCTCTGATAACCACCCACTATTGTGCCAGAGAGTTCAGGAGTGTCCCCTGCCAGCTAAGTGAGAGATCAGCATGGGATTCCTGCTTCCGACTTTCTGCAGGCCCACAGCTTGTCTGCCACAGGTGTTTGGAGAGTGAACCTGTGGGTGGAAGCTTCTCTTTCCGTGTGTCTCTGTGTCTGTGTCACCGTATGTCTGTCACTGTGTGTTTGAAATTAATATTTTATTTAGCAAAAAGAGAAGTAGCAACATTGTACATATGTACCTTCATAAGCCATACCATGCTATGTTTCATAAAATATTAGCCATGAAGGCAGTTCGATTGCAAGCTAGCTGGATAGTGTCTCAATTTAATAAAATCTGCCTAAAGATTTCCCAAAAGTTCCACAGACAATTACTTTCCTCACTTTAGGGAATTAATGGCAATTTAAGTATGAAGCACAAAAAGATAAAGTTTATCTTCTGGCATATAATTTCATGTGAGTTCATTTTGCTATTTTATAATTTGAGCAAAATTATTGGAAAATAGAAGAAGCTAAGAAAGCACAACACCAAATGCGGTGAGCTAGTGCAGTGAACCCCTGGTCTCACATCTTCTTCTGTACCCAAGGTTGCAAATTCCTCCACGGACTATGAAAGAAGACAAATGCATTTTTCAAAGGAGAACAGTTTATCTTTTAATTTTTCAATCTTTTTTTTTTTTTTTTTGGAAAGGCAAAGTGACAGAGAATAAGATAGAAAAACTGGAGGGAGATTGTCCATGTGCTGGTTTAGTTCCCAAACACCTGCAACAGCTAGCTAGGGATGAGGCAGAAGGCAGGACTTCCGCTGAGCTTTACCAGTGGATTGTGGCAACACCGGCATGTGTCATTATCTGCTGCCTCATCACATGCTTCATTTCTTGAATAGCAAACCTGGAGACTGAGCTGGAACCCTGACTGTATAGAAGATGCTTCCAGATCACCGCTGATGTGATCAGCCACGAACTCATACTGGATATTCCAAGGCAGATATCTTGGTCTCAGAAATATATACATATATATATCAAAAAATAATACATAGGGTCTTCTGACCCATGATTCACTCCCCAAGTGACCGCGATGGCCGCTGCTGAGCTGATCCAAAGTCACGATCCAGGAACTTCCTCCAGGTCTCCCACATGGGTGCAGGAATTCAAGGCTTTGGGCCATCCTCGACTGCTTTCGCAGGCCACAAGCAGGGAGCTGGATGGGAAGTGGAGCTGCTGGGATTAGTACCGGTGCCCATACAGGATCCCGGTGAGTTCAAGGCAAGGACTTTAACTGCTAGGCCATCGCGCCAGGCCCTAAAAATATGGAATGCCTCATGAATTTGCGTATCATCCTTGTGCAGGGCCAGACTAATCTGCTCTCTGTCGTTCCAATTCTAGCATATGTGCTGCTGAAGCGAGTATACATATATATATTTTTCAATATATTCATTTTCATTAGCTGTGATATAATCAATTAGCTAGGTTCACAGCTCCAATCAGCTTTCCTTCAAAATACACAAATTTCAAAAATTATAGCTTCAATATATTGATTTGCAAAGATATTCCTTTATTTATTCAAAATTTGGGATATATGGGCCCAGCGCGGTGGCCAAGAGAGTAAAGTCCTCGCCCTGAACGTGCTGGGATCCCATATAGGCGCTGGTTCTAATCCTGACCACCCTGCTTCTCATCCAGCTCCCTGCTGTAGCCTGGGAAAGCAGTCAAGGATGACCCAAAACCTTGGTACCTTGCACCCATGTGGGAGACCCAGCACAAGCTCCAGTCTCCTGGCTTCAGATCGGCTCAGCTTCTCTGTTGCGCTCCACTTAGGGACGGAATATCTTCCTCTCTGTCTCTCCTCCTCTCTGTATAATACATCTAACTTTGTAATAAAAATAAAACTAATCTTTAAAAAAAATTATTATTTTGGATATCTAAAACACCTCTTTCTATTTTGCTATATTCTGCCTTTGATAACAGTTTCTAAATTTTGAAATCTCTTAAAAAGACTTAGGGAATTCATGTAAAATGAAAAAGGCAAGAATTGTATAATATTACAATATTTAAGAGCATATTCTTTAAAATATTTATTTAAAATTTAACATTTAAATGTTTAGGTGCATGTAGTCTGATAACCTGTTTCAAAAGTGAACTAAGCATAATGTGTTCAGGACTTGTCAGGGTCTCCGTTCCTCCTGTAACAGAATGAACAAAAAATGACATTTATCCCATGATTCGTGAAATCCTCGCATTTGTTTCCAGATCACTGATTTCATGAGGATTTTCTTTCTTTTTTTTTTTTAGGAAGACATAAGAGCTAGAATGATGTGTTTTGAACAGATTAAGGAGTTTTACCATAAAAACATTTAAAATAGATAAATGCTTTTCTATATTTTTGTAACACAGAAAATGTTGGGCCCAGGGCAAAGAGAAATTTTAACAACCAGAAGCTCTAAAATTATAAAATAGTGAATGCAAACTCAGATTCATTGCACAATACAACCAATAGGAAGTAACGCTTCATGAAAGTATGAAATGAATTACAGCTGACTGCCCTAAAAGTTCTCGAGTCGAAGAACTAAGCAGAGGCTGATGAGTGCCGCTGCTGTGGCTCTGCCTGGATGAGCTCGAATGTGACCATTTCATCAATGAGGGATACGCGAGGACAGCCACTTCAACACGATGCTCCAGAGGTAAGCTGATGTGATGTTAGCCTCAAAATGGGGAGAAATGGAAGGTATTTCCTGAAGACTGAAAATCCAGAAACATTTGCCATGCAGTTTATCAGTAGCTAGTGAAGAATCTTGGAGAATAAAGGCAAATATGAACTCAACGGACTGTCATATGCAAAGCTCACCTAGTAGACATACCTTATTGCCCAAGATCACACCAAAGCAATAACTCTGTAAATGTGAATGTATGTATAAAGAGTTGCATCATTTGTACAAATTTGTATGATGTACAGCTTGCAAAACCACTGTGTGATTTTATGCATTAGTACTATTTAGATGCGACACTTGACAAGCCATCTTGATAGGAAGGTTACCAACACGACGGTCTACATATTTTGTTTTCTGAAACACACAGAACATTTTCTCCACATTTGTCTTCCCTCCTGGACTGTTCTCTTCCTGTTCAATTATTCTAAAACTGTGCTGTTCTTCATTGACAGGGCGATTGCTTTTGTGACTTTATTTTCTTGTTCTTATTTTATTTTATGGTGGTTGATATTCTATTTAACCATTTTGATTGTTGCAACACACTGGACGTTGAGAAATGCTTGTGGGCACCGCGCAGCCTTCTGCAGGTTAGCAGCTTTGCTTCTTGCCTTGGCTGAATTGCTCTTCATTGCTGGCACGCTCTCTGCTCAATCCCTCAGCACCTCACCCGCTGCTCGGGGGGCAGGGCGGGGGGGGGGCTGACTGCACTGTGTGCCCCAACTGCTCAGTTCACTCAGATTGTTTATCTTTGCGTATGTAACCTCCCCTAACCGCATCTCCGCGATCACGTTCTTGGCTTGGTAACCAAGATTTATATATCTGATCCAGATCCATTCTTAGCCCTACCTTGAATTCCTACATCTCCAGCACACAGCTGGCCCTGGTATCTTTCTTGGGTCTTAGAGTGCAGAACCTTTCGAATGTGGAGTGGGTCTTGCTTTCATCTCTAAGCTGGCTCCTTCGGTTGCTTTGCTCCTCAATGGCCCACTCCCAAGTAACAAGTCTGCATGGATCTGGGGGAATTCTGCAGGCTTGTGGAATTCCTCTCAGTGTCCCCTCCTGCGCAGGTGTTAGCGACAGCACTTTGCTCCTGTGGCTTCTAGCTGAGTGTTTCCTCTCTGGGAGATCCCATGTTGAATCTACTTTTCTCCTCCGCCCTCTGCACTCAGTGCTGCATTGTCCTCCCTGACCACTGGTATTTTCCTCTACCAACTTTTGGTAGTACACTTTATAGGTGAAACTGGAGATCAACTTTAGTGCACATGAAGGTCAACCTCTGTTTTTCCGCACCAGTCACTTACTTTGATGAACACTGGCTACAACAATTGTATGCAGGGTACTGTGACACAGTACGTGTAACTGCCAATCATCAGGCCCACATCTCCTATTGGAGTGCCAGATCAAGACTCCATTTATGTTCTCAACTAGTTGTGGCTCAGTAATTGGGCTTTGCCAACCACCTGAGGGACCCTGTTTGCTGTACCCAGAAGTTGTGACCATTTGGGAGTGATCCAGGTGGGAAGATAATCCTCTCCTCTCTCCCTCGTCCTGTTTCATTCACTAACTGATATTTTTTCCCAAATAAACATTTTAAAAATAAATACAAATAGAACCTTTAACAACAACCTGTTACATTGGACCTTTGTATTTAAATTAAGAATGCATAATTAATCATGTGTACAATTTAAAATTCAAACATTAAGAAAAATAATTTAAAAGTGATGATTATAATTTTCTGCTGGTTTATTTGTTTCTGAAATTGATGTTGCCAGTAAGGAAGTTTGGATATATGCATTGTAATATTTTTATTGGGTTTTCTTGTCCTAATGCTGTCATCAAAGAAATGAAAAAGTCTAAAAAAAAAAAAACTGGCTAGAAAATCAAATAAATTCACAAACTATAGCATGAAACATATTTACATTAGAGAGCCATGGTCTGTGTGTTTAAAATGTAGCTGCCTATGTCAATGGACTTAATGTTGTTTTTAAATGAGGTTGTTAGAATCCAAATATGTTCCCTATTCCACTCCCCAAAACTAGTGAACAATTGTAAACAGTTCACTTCCAGTAATATACATTAAAATATACGAAAAATGAGTCAAACAATAGTTTAATCCATGCTTAAGAAAACTTTTAATACACAATTTTATAAGTAAGTTTTCAGGTTCTGCACCTTGAATATTTGATTTTTAACTGACAATTGGTGAAAACATATAGGAAGCGAAAACCTATCATTGGTCCAGGATGGGGGATTTTAGTTGCCCCTGAGAGCCATAACTAAATGTCCTTTTCTTTTGCTAAAGCAGCATGTGGTTCCAGTGCTGGAAAATAAGTAGCTGTTTGACCTGGAGAAATAGCTTGGATAAAGATTATCTCCTATCTTTTTGAGATCTTAAAACATCTGGAATTATTCAATTTAGTTCACATAAGTAATACAATGGAAAAGCTGATGCATGGTAATTTAGTGGCTTCCCACTTCATCATGCATAGTTCGTATTTTTGCAAAGAATTTGATATGTGCTTTTGGTTTTCAATGCTAAATGTTGTTCATTATATAAATGAAATGAGCTACTTGGTGACTATGAAGACACTGTTTCTGCATCCTGCCAAAAATTAGCTGAACAACTGCTTTGAGTGATGATGGGGAACTAAGTCCTTGCATATGCTAAAAAAAATCTAAAAACTAAATACATTCCATGTGTATTGCATGCCCTTCAATTCATTTCTGCTTAATGCATTAAAAGTATGACATTTTTCCAATGTTCTTCACTCTAAACGGAATTTATGAGTCTACTTATAAAATTAATATTCATTCTCTTCTATTATTCGCATTTTGCTTATCTTGTTTTCAATTTCTAAGACTATAACGTCAACTCCCTCTCCATCTGCTCCTGTATTTTATACAATTTTGTGCACTATTTATTATAAATTTAAGTAGGTGACAGTCCATGACAGTGGTGACATGATCAAACTAATGGGTCAGACAATTTTTCAGCAGCTTTGAAAAAAAAATGTGACATGGGAGGCAGAGAAATGAACAGAGAATAAGAAATTGCATGGGTGCTTGAGATACAAATAACGAGGGAGACAGATCTCTCTTTCTCCGTCTCTTTCACACACACACACACACACACACACACACACACACACACACACACACACACACACATTTTTGGTTAGGCTAGAGATCCCTGTTGCTCTCATATGTCACTTACAATCTTTAAATTTCAATGTTCAAGATCAGGATCAATTTCATGTAATGATTCTTCACTTACTAAGTATGTTCATGCCATTTCGATTCAGCTCATCTCTAAGTTTCTTCAACAACAACAACTTAAAAAAAAAGATTTATTTACTTATTTATTTTTTATTGAAAGGTCAGATATACAGAGAGGAGGAGAGACAGAGCGGCAGATCTTCCTTCTGATGATTCACTCCCTAAGTGACCGCAATGGGTGGAGCTCAGCCGATCCAAAGAGAGGAGCCAGGAGCTCTTCCAGGTCTCCCATGTGGGTGCCGGTCCCAAAGCTTTGGGCCATCCTGCTTTCCCAGGCCACAAGCACGGAGCTGCATGGGAAGTAGGGTTGCCAGGATTAGAACTCACGCCCATATGGGATCCCAGGCTTGCAAGGCAAGGATTTTAACCACTACACTGTGGCACTGGGCCCACAACAACAACTTTTCATGACAAAGTTCTCT